TCCTGACTTATCGAGTTCTCGTTCTCGATTTACAGGTCTGGATAGTGACACTGTGGGGCGCCGCGTCGGCCAGATAATGATCAGCGCACTTTCGGAGGCGGACGACATTCCTGTCTCACTCTGCGACAAGGGCTCGGCCGAACGCACCGCCGTGATTAACGTGACCTTTTCATCTTTCTTCTCGAGATCGCGTCGTGACTTCACGTTGTGCAGGCTCTCCCTCTGACGGACGCCATCGGACCACTCGTGGATCACCAGGCGGCGACGTCGTTGAAGGAGGGCGTCGCCAAGGAGGCATCAGACGCTGTTGCTGCCACCACAAGCGGCAGCAATGTTTTTTAGAGGGGGAGAAAGTTCTCCTCCATGCTTGGGACCCGCCGGAAGGCGACGAGCCCAGCGGTAAGCTTCTCTTTCGTCCTTGAGTGCATAGTCAGAACGACTTAACCTCACATCATATCATCTTACTTTGGACTCGGACACGTCTCGACCGCCTTAGCGAAAGCAGAGGTTGGTGACGGTCGGCGAGAAGTAAGTAAATGTCTTTGAGGTTTTTTCATTCTAACCGTTTTGATCACCTAGCCTCATGGAGAAGAGAAAAATCTTCACAAGATGGTGCGGGCGAAAGCGGCGCACAGTGGGGCTGATGCTGCTTCCAGTGCGTCCCCTGTGGCGACCTCGACGGAAGTTGTGGCCGCTACTAAGGACCAGGAGGTAGCGCCACGTAGTCCTATCGCCAGCCTCATGCCCGTCCGGCCTCTGTCCGCCGATGCCCTCACCTGGGGGAGCTCCAGACTAAGATGGAGCGCATCCTTCAAGCAGGCGCCCGCGGCATGGGCTGCGAGATCGAGGAGGCCAGGGCGGCGGCGTCGTCGGCAAACCAACGTGCCGATCAGCTAGCACATGATCTGGCGGAGGCCCACGAGGACCTCCAAAAGATGAAGGAGCTGGTAGCTGGCAACTAGACGCAGCGGCGCAGACTCGAGCACCGGATGTCGGAGCTCGAGGGCCATCTGACAGCCATCCGAGCTTCGCTGCAGACATTGTTCACCGGCCTGCACCAACTCGCCGGGGAGTGCGGTGTCACGACTTCGATCCCGGCGCATCCTGATGAGTGGTCGCTGACGTCGTCGCTCGCGGAGCTGGCTAAGGCGATGGAGGCGATCCCCTCTAGCCATGCGGCCAGGAGACGTCCAACGGTATTTACACCGGGGGCGTGTCATGTCCCTACGTGCATGAGGCTGGCGCATCCCGATTTAAACCTCAAAGAAGCTTTGGATCGGGGAGTCGCCAATAACGCGCGTAAGGACACGATGGAGGAAGTCGACGACTTGGGGGAGTCTGTCCTCCCCCTTTTTGAAGAGTAGGACTTTGATTTTCCTTTGTACTCCTTAATCTACATGCTGTAAAACTTTTTGTGGGTCTGAACTGCTTTTATTTAAACAGTTGTTTCCCTTGTTTCCTTAGCACGTGATCCCGAGTACCTTTGTCATTGTAGATATGTTGATGTTGAGGATGTCCAGCAGTACGGGCAGCCCGATACACCGGTAGTCGTTCCGGCGCTCATGCTTGAGCCGCACGTGCCGAAGGCTGAAGTCAATCAAAGCCCGTCCGCGGAGACGAAGATGGCGATGACATCCTTAGGTTTGTGTCTTGATTTCCTTCGCTTCTCGTGTTCGGATTGACTTAATTAGCTGTGTTCTCGAAAGAGAAAAGTGGCTTGACTTAGTCCTTGCTGTGTTGGGCAGATTTCGAGAACGCGTTGGCTAATCGAGATCGTCAGATCCAGTATTGGAAGACGAAACTCGAGGTGGCCGAACTCGAAAGGGCCATCGTGGAGGCGAAGAAGGACCAGGCCATGGAAACTCTCCGAGGTCACGAGGTGTGGTTCAACTCGTACCTCAAGAGTTGCTGCACGGCCATGGCGGAAGTTTGCAGGGAGCTCCGAGTTCCCCGCGAAGATCCCGAGGAGTCCGCTGCTGGGTATATCTCGTGGATGAAGGGGGCCTGCGCACAGCTCGAAGGGATTGGCAAGCGCATCGACGAGGCCCTGAAGCAGGAGTGCCGTCGAGCGAGCCGCTACGCCTGGGGACACGTGCTGGCTTGCATCCGAGATCACCGCCTGCAGCTGCACCTCGAGTTCCTTCACAAAGGGTTCTCTCGTTCTCGGAGAACATCCACGGAGATCGACGGTCTTGTGCAGTCGATGGCGCCGCTTGCCGAGAAGGTTTTCTCCTCCATGGATTGGCGTTGGCCATCCTGGTAGCTTTCGTATCGTGTAGAAAAACATCTCAAGGAAGCATGTAATATACTTTTAAGTATTCATGATTTGTAAGAAATCATGGCAAAATAGAAATGAAATCTATCTAACTAAGCTTTCTTACTCTGGATATGTTGTGTATGAGTGTTTTCTCGTTTTGCGACTTCGATCAGTCACTTGAGCAATACACTCTCCCTAGTCCCCAGCCTTGTCGTCAGAGAATCATTCTCGGAGGATAAGGCTCTTGGACCCTTGACCTGCCTTGGTTGAAAAAGCGTTGACCCTAGCCCCCAGCCGTGAAGTTGGAAAACTCAATTTCCGATCACACGGCTTGGTTAATACACACGGTGAGAACTCTTACATGACCTGATGTTACATGGTCGTTTGTCTCTGCATAATCTGACAAGGCCTTATCCGCTCTGGGCGTCCCCAGCCGAAGTTCCCTTAGGTTCCTCAGAGGCCTTGCCAGGACGGCGTAAAGGAACATGAGGATAGGTTTCAACTCTAGGTGTCGTCGTGGTAAGGGATCACTGGGAAGGAACACTTTGACAATATTCTTTACCTGAAATCAACTTTATTGAAATCATAAGATATCTTACAAATATGGATACTATTGATTTATACATAAAATTTACGTAATTGATCAATGATCCAGGAGTTTGCTAACTCGCGACCATCACCGTCTGCAATCTTGAATACGCCCGGCCGCAAGATTTGCGTGATCATGTATGGTCCTTCCCACTTGGGTGAGAGCTTGTTGCGCCCTGCTTGGCTTTGAACTTGTCGGAGGACGTAATCGCCGATCGAAAGTGTGCGTGCTCTGATGCGCTTTTCGTGATATCGGCGAAGGGCCTGCTGGTAGCCGGCTGCTCTGACGGCAACTCTTTCTCGATGTTCCTCGAGTAGATTCACATCATCGCTTCGCTTCTCCTCCTGCTCCTCATCGGAGTACTTCTGTACTCGTGTGCTCTAATGTCGTAGCTCCGTAGGGAGCATAGCCTCTGAGCCATACACGAGAAAGAAGGGTGTCTCCTTATTGGATGTTGTCAGTGTGGTACTCACGGCCCATAGGACAGAGGGAAGTTCTTCGACCCACTTCTTGTCGTGTGACATGAGTCTGTCGTAGACGTGGGTCTTGATCCCTTGTAGTACTATGCCGTTTGCCCTTTCGACTTGTCCATTGTTCTGGGGGTGAGAAACCGAAGCGAAGCAAATCTTGACTCCCAATCTAATGCAGTAATCCTGGAAATCGGCCTGATGAACTGAGAGCCGTTGTCTGTTATGATGCGGTGAGGCAATCCATATCTGCAGAATATCCCTTTGATAAACTTGATGGCATTATCGGCCTTGATTTCCCCGTGGGCGTCGCTTCAATCCACTTGGTGAATTTGTTGATAGCCACGAACAGGAACTTGTAGCCGCCCTGTCCTCGTTGGAATGGTCTGAGTATATCGAGCCCCCAGCACAAGAATGGCCAAGTAAGAGGGATAGTCTAGAGCGCTTGCGCTGGCAGTCTTGTGTGTTTGCTGTGAAATTGACAGGCTTCACACCGCTACACCATGTCGCAAGCGTCTTTGAGGGCGTTCAGCCAGAAAAATCCTTGTCGAAAGGCTTTTCCTACCAACGTCCGTCCGCCGGCGTGTGACCCGCAGATCCCGCTGGTTTAGAGTAAGTTGATGGAGCTGCCACTGTTGATGAGAACCTGTGCGACCTTGATATTCCGAATAGTGGGCTCAACCACGATCGGATATCGCCCTGGAGTGACGGCAGTCTTGGGGTGGTCTGCTTCTGAGAACTCAATCTTCTGCTCTGACCACTTCACCTTGGACGCAGCCTCCTGCCATGTCGAAAAAACTTCGCGCTCCACTTTCTTGTACTCTCGCTTTGAGGAGTACGCCGTGGAACCTCCGAAGATGTGCGAAACATGGAGGTCGGAGTCTGGGTATGCTGAGTCTGAGTCCTGAGTAGCCGCTTCGGCAGCTTTCTTGACTACACGTACTCGGTTCGGTCTAGCTCGTTAGGATAACGAGCTGACTAGCTGGCTTGGATTAGCTCGAGCTAGCTCGTTTAACTCGTGAGCTAGTACATCCAAAAAAAATCTTGCAACACAATTATGCAAATACATATTGTACAACCAACCAAAATTGTAGTTCAAGTATGCAAGTGTATCTAAATACCAAAAACCAACAAATCACATGCTCTAAGTGTTAAATAAATGGATCACCAGCTACACCTTGAACAGATCACAAAGGTTGCTGCTCGTGGCGATGAACAAGGGTGAGCATAACCACATGCATCCGTCTCCCCGCGTCGACGATCTCCTGGCAGCGGCGGAAATCGGTGACTTGTTGCCGTGCTCCATCTCACACTACAGGATGGATGTCATTTAAACGTATTTTGTTGGGCATTCCTGCAAAATCGCCTCAAATCATCCCTTTTAAAGGCAATTTTCATAAAATGCCACAAAAAATATTTCTATACATGGCAAATTTAATTAATGTCTTCCATACTTTCATCATTAGAAGGCGCCTAAAAAAACTCTGTGCTTTCAAGGCGTTTTCGTTAGAACCTTAAAAAAACTCCATATTTCAGGCGTAACCACAAAACGCCTTAAATTTTATGTTATCCAGGGTATTTTGCAAAATTGCCAGGGCAACTGATAGTGTACTTTTAAGAGAAATGCATGCTAATCTATGTTATGTCACGTATGTAAAAGGAAGCTTGAAAGAATTTAATATATAGAAATTAGTACTTCCTCCACTCAATCACATACGCTACCTTATCCGGATCAGATCGAGAAAAATCGAGCGAAAAAAAAAAAAATCTCCCGATCACCCCGCGCACCCCAGTGGCTCACCGCCGGCCGGCGACCGCCCGGCACCCCGCGCGCCCGCCCGTCGCCCGTCGCGCGCGCCCGCCCGCCGTTGCGGCATCGCCCATCTCCGCATCACCCAGGCCATCTCCGCATCGGCGCATCGCGCCGTAGCGCCGCCGGCCGGTGACCTAGCTCGTGGGGGAGACTCGCCGCCGGCGAGAGCGCCCCGCCCTCCTGCTACCCGTCACGGTGCCGCCGTCGACGGTCGACCGTCCCCCGTTGCGCCGCCTCGCCGCCTCCACCCTCCCGCCCACGGCCTCACGCGCCACAAGCCCGCGACGCCGCCGCCCGGAGCTACAGCCTCCACCTCCACGTGTGAACTGGTAACTCTTCCCCTCATCCACTTCCTAAATGCTAAATCCAGAGATGGTTAGGAACATTTTGGATTTGGAATTTAGGGTTTAGTTCATAGTTGAATTTAGGCTGATTCATTTGAGAATTTTAGTAGACATGTTAGTCTCCATCTCTGCCCATCGCACTACTGTTTGAACACGATGATATCTTGAGGTTTGTGCCTTTTCATTTGGGTTGAATTTACCTCAGTTTTTCATGCATTGAAGGTGTTTGTAGTAATGCCTAAGCGAGTTTTTCACATGAACATAGTTAATTAGAGAACAAAATGCATACACTAGGTTGCCTGTTGTAATAGAATTTCTCCTATAATTTTGTTAGAGCAGTACAAAAGTTACATAAGATGATGATGCTTGGAGTTGGAGGCGTCGCAGGAGCAGGAGCAGGCCTCCCCTTGGTCCTCCGCCGCTGCAACCGGTCCCGTACCCCTCCCCCGCCGATGGTGATGACCCCACTCCACCGCAGCTGCTTCTTCTTCCGACCACAACCCTCTAGTCTCTCCCACTACCCATCCCCATCCCCATGCGCCGCCGACGACTTGTTCACCGTCGACTACGACCCAGAGGAGGAAGAAGAAGAAGAAGACGAGGAGGGTTCTCCGTGGGAGGGCGCGGTGGTGTACCGGCGGGACGCCTCGGTTCACCACCTCGAGTACGCCACCACCCTGGAGCGCCTCGGCCTTGGCGACCTCTCCTCCCCTCACTCTCGGGCACGTGCTGCCACCATGGGAATCCTCATCCTCTCCTCCCCCAACCTTACCGGTACCAAGGACGAAACGCCAGTGCTCGTCTCTCTCGACGTTGCCAGGCGCCGGGGCCGCCTGCGCCTTGACGGCATCGTCCGCACTGTCATCACCCTCGGTTGCTATGGGTAACTAACTAACCTTCTCACTCTCTCTCTTCCTTTCCTTTTAGACATGGTACTATGACCGAAAGAAATTTCATTAGGCAAAGGCAAGCATAGTAACAATCTTTATAATTTATCACCTCTACTACTGTTCATAAATACCTCCGTTTCTAAATATTTGACGCCGTTGACTTTTTTAAACATGTTTGACCGTTCGTCTTATTCAAAAAATTTAAATAATTATTAATTCTTTTCCTATCATTTGATTCATTGTTAAATATACTTTTATGTATACATATAGTTTTACATATTTCACAAAAGTTTTTGAATAAGACGAACGGTCAAACATCTGCTAAAAAGTCAACGGTGTCAAATATTTAGAAACGGAGGGAGTACATCATAACGCACCCTTAGCTTAGCCTTGTGCAATTTTTCACTTCTATGTCCATGCTGGATTGAACTTTGCCTACCAGTCAACTACACTTCACTGCTCCATACAGCTACTAGTTTGTTAGATTTAAGGTGGCTTGGCATTTCTTCACTTTAAGAGTTTTTTCGTTCAATTAGTCAAACAAATAAATAACTATTCCGTAGGAGGAAAACTTTAGGACAATAATCTCAACTTCATCTCTCATACAGTAAGTTATACAGTATCTCTTTTAGCCCACAACCATTGTGGAAAGTTTCAGTCCGACTGAGCTGCGGTTGTGTGCAAACCTTGAAATAATATATATCTACTAATTGCATAAAGGTTTATGGAGGATTGAATATGAAGCAACTAGTATATTCAGTGAATATCACTTAAGTTGTTCACAAAGTAGAAACGGGCCTCTTTTTTTGTTAATTTAATACTGGCACAACTTGAGGACAAGGTTGATGGTGCAATACTGAAACGCATTGTGCTTCATTTTCAGTTGTGCTGAGCCAGCGCCTCAAGGTATATTTGCGAATTTTTCCCTGTTACTGACCGAAGGCAGAGTAGAGGAACCTGATGTGGTTGATCTCGGCACGATATTTGAAGAAGAACAAACCAAAGCTCCTGTGCTAACTGGAAGCCAAGAAGATGGAGACGACGAAGATATAGATTGGGATGACCGGTTGCATTTCCCAGCTGGAGAAAAGGAGGTTGATATCTCGAAGCACATCAGGGACATCATTCACTTAGAGATCACGCTCGATGCCCTGTGCAGTCCCACCTGCAAAGGTCTCTGCGTTGGCTGCGGCGAAAATCTCAACACCAGCAGCTGCAGCTGCAACACAGAGAAACAGCAGGCTAAGGCTAAGAATGTTCAGCGGCGAGGGCCTCTCAAAAGACCTGTTGAAACCACTGCAAAGGTGATGTAAACACCGCACGGCAGATTTTAGACAGTGATATGTATGTAATACGTTGTAGCAGTATTCGAAGATAATATGTTTAGATGATAAATTTCATTTTTTGAGCTCATATCCTACTGTAAGACGGAAAAATTGATGCCATGACGTGTCTGTTTGCGTGTGTTCGAGGTACCTGAATTCTGACATGCTATCGGAGGCATCGATTTGTAGGGTGACAGTTTTCTTGTGCATATATGCAGATGAACCGTCTGCTGTGTTCGACCCAACAAATCGTAATTGCAATATGAGATACACAATTCAAAAGCAAGAAAAATGAAATGTTAAATCTGGAGGTAAGAGCAATGTATTCTCTACCACAAAGAAAAGGCTTCAACCCCTTCGGACATCAGATAAACATCCAATGTAACACTCAAAAATTTTCTTTTCGCGAACTAAACAGGCCTTTACAATAATTTTTCTCATAATTCTTTTTTCTAGAAAATAATAGCTGCAGTATATATTTTCGTGGGTCCTACAATTATTTGATTTAACATGTACAGTATTTGTTTGCAAGGACAATGGCCCATCCATCCGTTATACTCCTCCAGCCATTACATCAGTCTGGGCCATCTCTTCCAAACAGGGACAGCACCACTCCCGCCGTTTTGCAGAAAACTAACAAACATAATATAAGATGTAATATTTGCTTATAAATTCGTAAAACATGTCATATTATATACTAGTTTTGTTTTCTGAGACGAAGAGATATATATGGACGTGCACATACGTGCGATCAAGGAAGCGACATATCACACGCAAGTTCATACTATTGGCTCGCGCTGCTCGAAGCCATGGAGAAACATGTGAAACAAACCCGCAGGGAGCTAAATCGACCAGTATGCTAGGAACAGACCCAATAAATTTAGATAGTTGAAAAATCAAACCGTCGATTGGCGCACCACCTAATTTATGGTGAAAACGCTCTAAATCGTATGTATGAGGGATGATAAAATATCGGACGCTCGCCAAGTGGGTTTGTGGAGATTATGAAAACCTCATATCCACACGGCATGTATATCCGACTGGGTATGAGGGTACTGTATGTAGATAGAATATCTTTAAGGGACTCGGGTTAAATTTCAAACTTATGTATCAAGGAAATACCCGGAGTTTTAGTCGGTTACGATTGTATTTTATCTTTATTTGCCTATTCTGTTAGGAATATGGGCTATATCTTGTAATACGGACTCCTTCCCCTATATAAGGAGGGGTCCAGGTGCCTTTTGGGGCATAACTTTTCTCCCAGATCATACGATCAATAACACACTCGGCGGATCAATCCCCGGACAAGGGTAAGGTATTACTTCTCATTGAGAGGGCCTGAACCTGTATAAAATTCTGTGTCTCTAAACCCATCCACTTTTCCATCTTGATAGCCACCCCCTTTTCGTATTGCCGAAATCTTGTTTCGACAGTTGGCGCGCCAGGAAGGGGTAGCGTCAAGTTTTTCGCCGATTAGTGCGATGGGATCCATCTCCGGCATTGACGACTTCGTCTTCCCTCCCGGGCAGACGTTCCAGTTCGGCAGCCTCGACTTCATCACCAACGACTTCTGCAAGATCTCTCTCCTTGGCTCGGATCCGAACCAGCCAAGGGGAGACGAGGTCTCTGTCCCGTTCGGTCTCCCGAACTCGGCCGAGATATACTCCAAGATCATCTCATCCGACTCGGCTTCAAACCACTCGGACGAGATCCCATCTACTCTGACACGACCTGATCAAGATGATGGAGCCTATCCTTCGATCCTGATGAAGCTTCCCGACGACTTGGCAGCTGTCTTCACCACAAGGATGTTCTCTTCCTGTAGGTCTAGACGGGATCCGGCTTCGGCCCCGATCCAATCTAGTTCCAGGGAAGTCGGCGTCATACTCCAGCCTCTTAGGACGGTTTCGACGGAAGAATTAGATGGCTACCTCAGCTCTCCCGGTGTCGACTCTCGACCAATGGAGATCCTTGAGTATGACGACTTCGGCTACCACTACGACTTCAGCAACCTCGACAATTTCGACAAAGGCCACGAAGACAACTATACGCCTCTCTTCCTCGGCGTTTTCATGGCTAACAACGAGACGGCAGAGTAGCGTCAAGCCCGGGAAGCAGAAGAATAACGCACATGACAAGAAGCTGAGCATCACCGACTAGAGGAGGAGCGACTAGCACAAGAGCGAGACCGGCTACAGCGTGAGCAACAGGAACACGAACGGGCTGCGAAGGAGGCTGAGGACTGGTGACAGGGCGCCTTGGAGGCTGGGCGACAAGCACGAGAACTTATCGGACAACAAGACGTTGAGGAGACAGCAGTTTTTCGCACCCCGCAACAGAACACGGTAGCGGCAATCACCCTTCTGGACACTCTACTTCAGGAAGATGCACCCAACCACATCGTCAACATCTTAAACCAGACCAAGACCATGATCGCCGCCTCGGTCCTAGTTAACTCCTCAAGCGTCCGTACGCCGACTAGCAACCGAGTTCCACCTCTTCAATCTCAAGATTATCATCAACCAAGCCTCAGCGTTGCCGCCGCAGGATCCAGTCGTAGGAGCAGGGATCATGGTAAACGATCTGTTCACTCACCCGCCGACAGACATAGGGAGCGCTGGGCTGAATAGCGCCGCTCTCCGCGTCGAAGGCGTCCCGTCGATCTTCGTGATACTATCAATTGACGTCGTGCAGAAAGAGGCTATATTCCTCACCATTCACCAGATCGTTACGATGACGATGTGGATGGAGTTGCCGTCTTCACGAGCGACCTGTGTCGAGTGGATTGGCCGGCCGGCTTCAAGCCGACTGGAATCGAGAAGTATGACGGCAAAACAAATCCTAAGTCTTGGCTCACCGTCTACGGTCTCGCGATTCGCGCAGCAGGAGGAGATAGCAAGGCCATGGATAATTATCTGCCTATGGCCTTAGCGAACTCTGCCCGGTCTTGGCTTCACGGGTTACCCCGTGGCATGATTGGATCTTGGGCAGAGCTTCGCGAACACTTCATCGCCAACTTCTAGGGCACTTTTGAACGTCCTGGCACTCAGTTTGACCTCTACAACGTGATCCAGAAGCCCGGAGAATCCCTTCGAGATTACATCCGACGCTTTTCTGAACAACGCAACAAGATCTCTGACATTACCAACGACGTCATCATCGCCGCCTTTACTAAGTGTATTCGCCATGAACTCTTAGTCGGCAAGTTCGGATGCAAGCCTCCCAAGGCGGTCAAGCAGATGTTCGAGAAGGCCAATGAATACGCCAAAGCGGAAGATGCTGTCACTGCGTCCAAGTAGTCGGGTAGTACTTGGAAGCCTAAGAAAGATGCGCCGATGACAGGATGGTGTGGAAGTACCAACCACAAGGACCGCAAGCGTAAACCCGAGGATCTTGTGTCAACTACAACACCATCTTCTCGATAGCGATCACGCATCAATACCTTGGACAAGATTATGAATGCTCAATGCTCACATCACCCGAACTTGAATCACGCGGCCAAAGATTGCTTCATCTATCAGCAATTCGCAGAGCAATATGCCAAGAAAGCACGTAAGCCGACTGATGAAGATCAAAGCACGTCGAAGAAGAAGGATGATGAAGACGATGCACCGACTGGTTTTCAAGATTCTCGCAAGGAACTCAATCACATTTTTGGTGGGCCCCTGGCTTACGAGTCCAAGCGAAAGCAAAAGCTGACTGAACGGGAGATCAACGCCATCCAGCCCGATACACCTCAATATCTTCGGTGGTCAGAGACAGCAATCAAGTTTGACCGCTTGGACCACCCTGACCGAGTGGTCCACCCGGGGCGGTACCCCCTGGTACTAGACCCAGTGATTCGTAACGTCAAGCTCCGACGATCCCTCATTGATGGTGGCAGCGCACTTAACATTCTTTTTTCCTAGACTCTGGACGACATCAGTGGGAAAGCGCTGTCACTCATACCGATGGAGAGTAGCGTGGGCTTTTTCAGCGGGTGATCCGCCTCGTCGTCGGGCTCTGGCTTTCGGCGCTGCATGATGTGGAGGTACACGGGGTTCCTCCCGAACCCAAGGAACGAGGTCATGTCGACATACAGCCCACCCTCCGATCTCTGCACGCGCGCGCGGGTTCAGCAAAATCGGCATCAAAAACCCTAACCTTAGGAAACCAGAGCGAAGAGGACCAAGACGGGTGGCTTGGTTTACCGGGGTGTCGAAGGAGACGAAGCACTCGTCCTTGTGGATGCGGCTGCCGGGCTCCAGGATGCAGACCTTGTGGAGGTGCGAGCGGAGGAGATCCATGGCTGCAGACTACGCCGGGCGGTGGCGGAGGACGAGGAGCGGCGCGGCGGCGGCTAGGGTTTTGAGGGTGGAGACGGCGAGGCGACGAGATGGTGAAGAGGGAGGAGGAGGAGGAGGAGGGATCGAGGTGGATGGGAAGAGAGGCGCGCGGTGGATGGGGCGGAGGAGGCGGCGGCGCGCGGGTGGATGGGGATCGCGAGAGAAGGGGGGAGAGGTGGCGGCGCCTAGGGTTTTCTCTAGCGCGTGCGGTGGATGGGGATTTTCTTTTTTTTTTATTTTCCGCGCACCTAAAGTAATTTGCCGTCTGAGCTTTCACTTCACTCTATCTGAACCGTTGGATCAAGATCTGACGGATGAAACATTGCTGACAGATGGATTATCATTAAGTTTTCCTGACATATCATTGGTTTCTATTCATAATATTGCTGACAGTTATTTTGTTCCAAAAAATATTTAGATTTGCCGACATATAGCATGTTATATTACATAGTATTGCCAACATATAATTTGCCAAAAGCCTTTACCAACAAATAGTCTATCAATAATTGTTTATCTTTACCGACAGATGTCTGTTGGTAATCTAGTGTCATGGTGTAGTGCGGCGGGACACCAGCGATCAGACCAGCGGCATCGCTTTGATCAGACAGGCGGGGACACGGTGGTCAGACCAGCAGCGGTGATAGGAGCCAAGGGCGATTTTTTGGCGAACAACACCGGTCAGATCAAAGGCATATGCGCGGTCAGACTGGCGGATCTACTCCAGTCAGACCGATCTACATCGGATTCTAGGGTAACTTTTAATTCCGCTAAAAGTTTTGGTTTTGGGGTATTACAACCATTCACCCCCCTCTGGTTGGCAGCGGAGGCCGCATCTGCCGACGAGGAGAGTGGTGATAGGAGGAGGTGGCGACAGTAGGGGGAGGGCAGTCGTTGACGGAGGCGGCGGCGGGATGGCGCACGGTG